CTCTGTCCGTGGACGTGGCTCCTGCCTCCATGTCCGCCGCGTGTCTACTTCCTGCTGGCTAGGGAGACCTTGAGGACAGCCTCTGCATCTCCTCACCCTTCCCCTTCCCCTTCCCCTTCCCGCTCCTCCTCTCTCTGCCCCCAGGACGCAGGGTGGTGGGTTGGACGTGGTGTTGCTTAACACAGATCCGATGCAATCGAGTTGATGTTCCGGGGGTTGAGGGCAAAAACAGTAATTTGGAGGTAATCTCTTTCTTCATTTGTTCTGTAAATTCTCACTCAGCTTTTCATTCCTGAAAATTATGACTGTGGTGTGACTGTGGTATTTTCAAGTTCTACTTCTAAAAAAAAGTCTCGATTCAGACACCTTTGCATCTTCAGCTAGACGAGTTTCCCCATCTGCCCACTGTGTTCGTTGTTCTGTCCTCGCACTGTCCAGTGGACCGTCCCAGCCACGGCCTCACGTGGAATGTGTCCAGTACAGCCAAGGAGCTGAATTTAATAATTTTGTTTGATATCAATTAGTTAGAACTTGAATTTAAATAGCCACATGTGGCTAGTGGCTACCATATTGGAGAGCTGAGCTGTAGCCATTATAAAAGTACCCACTTTTCATAGAGTAGTCGTGTAAGATTTAGAGATGTATTTTGATTTTTCCCTTTTTTCTGAGTTAAAACTCTGCCTGTCCAGTGAATATTACATTTCATGTGATTAAATGCCAGGGTCATTATGAAGGCCATTTCCTTAAGACTGTCACTGATCCCTAGTAACCCACGTGGTCGTGACTACCCAAGGCTTGGTGATGTCCGCTCAGGGCCGTGTGTGTGTGCGTGTGTGTGTGTGTGTGTGTGCATGTGTGTGCAGGCATTTGCCCAACCAGGAGTGCGCCTGCTGGGGTTTGCCCATTACGGCCATTGGTCATAGACGCGGTCTGTACTCGCCGAAGTCGCCACATTTGAACGAAAGTGAACTGGGATGCAGACGCCGTGCTTAATCCTGTGTTTCCTTTTCCAGAAGGTCAGCGCGCCCGACATCCTGATGCCGCTCAGCCAGGAGAGTCCCAAACGCTCTACCAACCCTGTTTCCAAGCAAGGAGGTCTCTCAGCACCCCCAGCGCCCAGCGCTCCATTCTCAGGAGGCTCGAGGCGGGTGAGTCTCTGTCTGATCGCGTGGACACGGGGTGTGGTTGCCGTCAGCACGTGGAACTGGCTTGGTGGGCCAGGGTGGGAGCGAGTACTGTTTGTGGAATGAACTGGAGCAAAGATGGCGCCTGGAGGTCCTCTTGACTTAGGTAGGGAGCTGGGGGAAGCCTCCCTCTCGCTGATGGCGTTTCTTTCTTACGTCGTCTCAGGGTGAACATGTTTATATAGACAGAGAGGAATTAGTAACATATAATGGTGTCTTCGGATGAGAAGTTTTCCATTTCGATGAAGTTTAATTTATCAAATTTTTTTTTTATGGCTGTTTCTCTGTCTTGGCTACTCACAAATTGTAGACATATTCTCCTACGTTTTCTTCTAGAAGCATTACATACACAACTCATTGTTGTGAATGGTGTAAGGTAGAAATTGAGGTTCACTTTTTTCCTTACGGATACTCAGTTATTCCATTTGTTACAAAAACCCACACCTCTCATTTCTCCGTTCACTTTGGTGGCTCCGTTGGAAAAAATTTGGGTCTTTCTCTGGCTTCTCTATCCAGTGATCGCCATCCTTTCGGACCTCACGGACCACAGTGGTCCGCAGACCACCGGTTGGCGACCGCTGCTCTATTCTGCTCACTGATCTCTGCCCATCCTCATGTCAGCGCCACGCCGCCCTGGTTACTGTACATTTGTTGTAAGTCTTGAAGTCAGTTTATTCCTCCAACTGTCTCTCCTTTCTCAAGGTTGCTTTAAACATAGTGTCTGTTTATAGGCAGGCCTTTCATTTACTCATTTTCTTACTTAAAAGCATTAAAGAAATGCTCACTTTATGCCTAAAATTGTGGTATATTGTAATAGATCCTTGGATGAGGGGTCCTGAGGCCTCAATTACAGTCAAAGCCTTTTAATTAACTAACTGATCTGAAATAATCATGAAATAATCATGAAAACTTTTAAACTTCAGAGTCCTCATCAAGGAAATGAGTATCAAAGTTGTTCTTTTTTTAAAAAATATGTTTTTATTGATTTTTTAGAGAGAGGGGAGGGGAGAGGGATAGAGAGAGAGAGAAACATCGATGAGAGAAATACCATCCATCAGCTACCTCCTGCGAGGCCCCTGCTGGGGACCGAGCCTGTGCCTGACCCGGAATCAAACGGGTGGCCTCTTGGTTCCAGGGTGGACGCTCAGCTGCTGAGCTCCCCGGCCAGCCGGGCGGAGTTGCTCTTCTCACTTCACTGGATTGCTTGGAGAATGAAATGAAAGCAGGGATTTCGTGCGTGATATTGTGGTTAAGAACTCAGCTTCTAGAAACCAAGCTCTTGGTTCACATTTCAGCTCCTTCTGGAACTGATCCAAAATGCTGCACCCTTTCCTGGGGAGAAGGCCCACGTCTGCATCCAGTTCCCAAACGCGTCTGTGCGTCCACGCTGGACAAGGGGCACGATGCTCTCAAACGCAGATGCGGTTCACACGGTCCTCTGGCGGGTCCCTCCCAACTCCTGCTGAGGGCAGTCGCCTGCCGGGATACACAGGGGTCGCCTTCGGCCGCCGGGCTTGGCCCTCTGCGTCTTGGATGCCCTCAGGCTGTGAGCTGGGATGGCCTTGCCAGGGCATTTCAGCGGCTTGTGTTGGAGGACGCTCAGCGCCTTCAGGACCAGGCGTTGTTTATACTTGAGAATAATTCAGAAAGATCCAGGCACTGAGGAAACACATCCCTGAGGGCCAGGGAGGCAAGGGCCGCTCTAGAACGTTCTCTCCTGGGGTGGCAGCTGTGTGGATGGAGACGGGGAGACCACGGGGGTGGCCTCTGAAGGCTTTTCTAAGACTCCCCGGGCCTGCGTCTGCCCCAGGCGACGGGAGACCCTGGGAACCCAGCCAGCTTGGGCCTGTTAAGCCGATCCCCGAGGCTAAACCTTCCCAGAGAGCAGAGGGGCGGCTCTCAGCTCTCCCTGAACTGCCCAGGCCCCACCAGACTGGCCTCTGAGCTCCTCCCTGGGCCCGAGCCACGGCTCTCTATGCCCGGAAACCCACACACAGACAGAGACCCACCCACAATGGTCCACGGGCCCCACACGAGCTAACCCCCCACCCCTACACCTTCCCCTCTGTTCACGCCGCTCAACTACACAGGCCCCCGCTGGCCCTGGACCGAGTCAGACTCACGCCTGCTCTGGCGTTTCTGGGGCTGTGCCCTCTCCCAGGCACCAAGCTCCTTCACTCCCTTCCTCCAAGTCCTCGCTCCAAGGTCACCTTCTAGGGAGGTCAGCCCCCTGCTCTCCCCTGTCCTCACCTGCTCTCCCCTGTCCTCATGTTCTTATCACCTTCCACAGTCTGCAGCTGGCTTAGCTGGTGTTTACTGTCTGTCGTAATTGCCAAGTGCCCAGAGCTGTGCCTGACCCTTCAATGGCACCCAGTAAATATCTGTGGGAAGGGTGCATTCATCCTCATCGGAGCTGCCATTTATTGAAAGCCTACTATGTGCTGACTACTGAGCTAGGTGCTCCACCTCCCAGTCCTCTCACAGCATCTCCTTGATGGGTGCCATTATTATGCACGAACGGGAAACAGGTTCTCAGAGGGGACCTGCAGAACGCTGAGTCGACCCCCAGGGCCGTGTGAGTCGGAGCCAGGCTTTTTGTGCGACCCCATGGGATTGCTTGGCCTCTGAAACCCAGTGGTTTTCCTGAGCCCACCTCCTGGCCCAGCTGACAGGCCGTCGGCTCCACGGCCGCCGTCTGAGCCACTGCGATCGCGCCCTCGGCTGCTCTTGGCGATCAGCACTGAGGTTTTCAGTGTAGCTGTGGGTTCTGGTGGCACCTTGGCTTTTGTCAAAGACAAGGGCATCGGGCCTGGCTCGCAGTCACAGTAGATAAGCTGTGACCTTCAGAGAAAGTGCCGAGTGCTCCCTCTCCTTTGCGGGCCTCCTGGCTGTCGAGTGTGGCTTCATTCGGTCTTGCAGCCCTGCCCTGCGCCCACGTGGACAAAGGTCGCGAAGGGGAGGGATGGCGAGTCAGGCTCACCTCACCGTGCTCCTCGTCTCCACAGCCACCCGGACCCTTGCTTCCAGCTGACGCGGTGGCTCTGCGATACCTTAAAGCAGTGCCTGTGGTTCATTCCGAGTTCCATTTGCTCCTGGCAGAAGGGTGGGTTGATACGATTCAGTCTGGCAGCCCGCGTGTGCGCGCGATGGTGCCAGTTTCATTATCAGAAGTTCTCGGCACCTCCGTCCGCCCACCGGGCATCTCCGAAGCCGCTCACGCTGGGCCAAGCTTCCCAGCCATTAGCCTCCATCTTCTCGCTGTCAGCCTTGCTGGTCCCTGCCCCTCACCACGCATGCCTTGTAGAGTCTGGACATTTTTACGTTGTTTTCCATTGGAACGGTGGTGTGGTGTTGGCAGGTGGCCTTTTTTCAGAGCCAGAGCTGGGGTGTGGCGGAGTTGGTTGTGTTCTTGGCATTAGTCAGCTCAGGCTCGGGCCCTCTAATGAGTTGGTTTGGTTTTTATCTCTCTCTAGTGTGAGAGAGAAAGCCCAGGCTTGCTTCTCAGTTTCTCCCCAGGGTGTTGCACAGTGTGGAGGAGCTACTCTGGAATTCGGAGAGGAAAGGCTGTTAAGAACTCTCTGTCTCAGAGGCAGCCGCTGAGACTGGGCTACATGCAAAGGGCGGCCAGTATCTAAGCACATGCAGTGGTGATGAGGCAGTTTGCTTTGTCTTCTAGGCACAGGCATCCCATTCCATGCAGCTCACCTACAACATCTCAGCTCCCAGGGCCCTAACGTAGGATGGGGTTTGGTGTTCATGTAGGTGCCCAAAAGAATGCAAACTTGATGGATGGTTGTTTTCGACTGCGTACCTTCCATACTGTATTCCACTCAGCCTCGCCACAACCCTGGGAGACCAGTATTAATTTTTCCATTCGGACTTTGACACGGCTAATGAGTGGAAGAACCAGCAGGTGCACCCAGATCTCTGTCTCCCTCACCCCAACCCTCCACCCCCGCCTACGGCACTGAGCCCCACACTGTGCTGCCTTTTCCTTGGCTGTTCCTGCCACGGACACATTATCTGTCCTCTGAGAGTTATCTTTGCAGAATCACACAGGAGATAGTCCGCTTTAGCCCCCATGATTTGTGTTAAAGAATAAGACTCTGTAACCTTTGTTGCTAGGCAAAGACCAGATCTGGGCAGGACAGGAGCTTCTGAGGGTTCCCCATCCCCTCCGAACAGAATCTGTGGTGACTTATTTTAGCAGAGAACAAACTCTAGCTGTTAACTTCAGGTGAGTCAGGATGCATGCACCGTGTGAATCTTGATTTACCTGGAATCTTGAAATCAGAACTGTGAAAGAATTGATGGACTGTGAGGTAATTTATTTTCTCTCTCATTTTTATTTCAGGGAAGTTTAATCAGCGTTAATAGCACTTGCACGGAGATTGGCAATTTTGACAACGCTGATGTCACTGGAGAGATAGAATTTGCCATTCGCTATTGCTTCGAAACCCGTTCTTTGGAAATATGCATCCAGGCCTGCAAGAACCTTGCTTACGGAGAGGAGAGGAAGAAGAAGTGCAACCCGTGAGTTCCTTTGTCTGCGTTTTGACGTAAGATGACAGGCATATTAATTCTGAAGTTTACATGGAAAGTCCAAAATAGCCAACACAATTGTAATGAAAAGAACAAAAGGTAAAAAGACACACGTCAAGAGCCACTGTAAAGTTCCAGTAACCCCGACAGTGTGTGTTGGTGGGAGGCCAGATAAGCAGGTTGGTAGAGCAGAATCAGAAGTCCAGACACAGACCTGAGCGTCTATGGGAAGTCACACCGTCAAGGGGCTACTAGAAATCAATGCATAAATGGTGTTGGAAAATTTGACTTTCCATATAGGAAAAATAAAATTGAAATCCTGTCTCACACAATCTGTAAACAGATTACATTTCTCTCCGACTGATAGATATGAAATGGTGTCACGTTATTTTAACATGCATTTCCTTGATGAGTAACAAAGATTAGCAACTATTTATATAGCATCAGCCACTCAGGGCTTCCCGTCCGTGAACTTCCTGTCATCTGAATGATGGCCGAGTGGGAAGCGTCAGGAATCTCTCTCCCCACACAGACAATAACTGCTCTGGCAGGATCTGTCTGATGCAACTGTTCTGTAACTGGAGTCTTTGAAGGCTTGCACCTTGCAGCAGAGGACTTCCGTGGTTAGCTGGAGTTCGCCTCAGTCAATGCCAGCTCTCAGCGCAGTAGCAGCTACCCATCCTCCGCCTCCAACCCCGTGGCGGGCAGCTGCGCACGTGTTCCTAGAGCAGCTTGCACTCCGCTTTCGGGAGCCAGGGTGGGCAACAGGATCCTGTCCTCCAGAGATCAGGGGTCTGTTCTCTGCTTGCTGGTTGCTGCTTCTGACCACAGAGGTGCAGACAGAGAGGCATACGGCCATTGTTGCTTCATCTCCTCCCAGAGTTGCACGATCTCCCCCTCTGGCTGATGTAACTTCCAGGGTTTGTAAGGGCCAGTGCCCTTATTTGTCTCCCTTTTTCATTTTTCTTTTTTTTCCCCACTTGTAAGCCAGACACTACAGACTAGGACATTCACAAGTAACTGCATCACAAGAAAAATTAGAAAATAAACATGCATGCTCAGGGAAAGGTGCAGGCTCAGAAAAAAAGCCTGAGTTTACATCTCAGGCTTATCTTTGGCGCAGGAGCATTAAACAAAATAACAAAAGACAGAAAGCCTTGGGAAGGGGGGGAATCTGATTTCCAGAGTTAACACATTATTAGACACAAATGTCCAGTATTCAACAAAAATAACAAGACATATAAATAAACAGGAAAGTATGGCTCATTCAAAGGGAAGTAATAAATTAACAGAAACTGTCCCTAAAAAAGATCTGATGACAGGCTTACTAAACAAAGACTTTACAACATTATCTTAAAGATGCTCAAAGAACTAGAAGGAGATGTGGAGGAAGTCAAGAAAATGATGTGTGAACAAAGTAGAAATATCAATAAAGAGAGAGAGAACCTAAGTAGAAACCAAAAAGAAATTCTGCAGCTGAAAACTCCAAATGAAAAATTCACTGGCGAGATTTGAAGGCAGATATGAGCAGATGGAAGAAGGGAGCAGTAAATTTGAAGAAAGTCAACAGAAATTATTGGGTTTGAGGAAAAGAAAGAAAAAAGATGGAAGAAAAGCAAACAGAACCTAAGGGACCCGAGGGCCACCATCAAGTGGACCAACATCGCATGAGGGAGTCTCAGAAGGAGGAGAGAGAGAGCAAGGGGCAAAGAGAATATTTGAAGAAGTAGCTGAAAACTTCCCAAATTTGATGAAATTCATGAATATAAACATCAAAGAAGCCCACTGAACTCCAAGTAAGATGAACTCAAAGTGACTCACCCTGAGACATAGTACTAACAAACTCTTGAACGACAAAGAGAATCTTCAAAGCAGCAAGAGAGAAGCAAATCCTCAAGCTCTTCAGCAGATTTCTCATCAGAAACTTGACAGGCCAGCAGGCCAATGTATTCAAAGTGCTAATCTCTATATATAAAAGCCTAAGCGGCCATCCAACTGTTCGACCCTCCCATTGGTAGCTATGACGTTCAATGACCACCAGGGGGAAGATGCTGTGACCAGTAGCTATGACACACACTGACCACCAGAGGGCAGACACTCAATGCAGGAGCTGCCGAGCTGTGATGACTTGGCAGCTACGGTTCTCAGATGATGCACCCAGAGCCAGAGAGGAGGGAGCCCGATTCTGGGGTGCGTCACCCAAGAACCACCCTCTCGCAATCTGGGACCTGTTGGGGGATGTTGGAGAGCTGGTTTTGGCCTGATCCCCAACGGCCAGGCCGAGGGACCCCACTGGTGCACAAATCCATGCACTGGGCCTTTAGTATGTAATAAGTACCTCCTTGTTAGTAATTACTTTACATGTACATGAATCAGACTCTCCAATCAAAAGACAGAAATTGGCAGAATGGGTAAAAACATAGAATCCAATCATATGTCATCTATAAGAGACTCACTGTAGATCCAACAAATAGAAGATATTCCATGCAGATAGTAACCAAAGAGAACAGGGGTGGCTATACTAGTATCAAACAAAGTTAAATCAACAAGGTTACAAAGGATAGAGGACATTATCCTATATAATAAAAACCTAATATGCTAAGGGTCCGGTCGTCCGGTTGTCTGTTCAACCAATCAAAGCGTAATATGCTAATGATACGCTAAGGCCACTCAACCACTCACTATGATGTGCACTGACCACCAAGGGGCAGATGCTCCGACTGGTAGGTTACTTGCTGCTGGTGTCCGGCCAATTGTGACTGAGCGAGAGGGGCTGGACATGCCCTGGAGCCCTCCCATGGTCCCTCCCCAGCTGGCCAACCTCCTGCATCCCTCCCCGGTCCTCATGCACCAGTGGGGTCCCTTGGCCTGGCCTGCACGCTCTCGCAATCTGGGACCCCTTGGGGGATGTCAGAAAGCCGGTTTCGGCCCGATCCCGCAGTCCATGCCGAGGGACCCCACTGGTGCACGAATTTGTGCACCGGGCCTCTAGTATACTAATACAGCAAGAAGATATAAAAAATATAAATGTTTATGCACCAAATAACAGCCCATCAAGACATATGAAGCAAAAAACTGACAGAGTTGAAGGGAGGAGTGGACGGTTCCGCAGTAATCCTTGGAGATGTCCATCATCTGCTCTCAGAACAGAACAACCTGCCAGAAGAAAAGGGAGGAAACAGGACTGAACATCATAAGCCAGTCAGATGCATGGTGTGATTTTGTTTCCGTCCTTTAAGCTGTGCAGGTGCGTCTCGTACACCCTCTTCCATGTGTGTGGGATCTGATGCTGATCATCAAGTTAAAAGTGAACAGTGAGGATCGGTACCTGGAGTTCTTTCCCAAGAACTCTGATTGACAGGGAAGAAGAGGTGGAGCCTGGAGCTCCGGGGGGACCCAGATGAAGGGAGGGTGACTGCTCTTTGCTTTGGGGAAGTTGAGCCTGTTCCTAGCCTGTGGGAATAGGTGCCTGGTCAAGGAGGGTCATTGCCATGGACAAAGCTGCCAGAGGAGCCAGGGAGGAAAGTTCCGGACCTGGGTAGAGGGACCGGCCTAGAACAGGGTTTCAGGGGGGGCAGAGGGCTGGTGGAGGTGGCCTGTCACGCTGCCCACCAGCTACGCTGCAGCCCCGAGTCCCAGAGGGCTGGTCCGCAAGTTAGGAGGACAGGCTGGAGGCCCCGCAAGGGAAGAGCCAAGTGTAAGGCACACACTTCCCGTTTCCACTTTTCTGTGGGGCGGGGGGTTGGATGGAGCGACAGGTGGGGAGGACAATTGGCTTGTGGCCTCTGCATCCAGAGATCCAGGAGTTTGCCCCCCTGGATCCCCCCCTCCCCCAGAGCCTGCAGGTGGCACCCACCCAGACCCATTCCAGGGGCGATGGCCGCAGACGGTGTAAACAGAAGCGGTGTCCCCAGCATGGCATTGCTCACTGTCCGTGGTGGCCCCTGACCCTTCCTATCAACGCCCAACTCAGCAGCAGGCAGGGCAAAGACTCCCACTCCCGCCTCACCCTCAGCCTCGCCCGCCCCCAGCCTCACCCGCCCTGTCTCCTCCAGGTACGTGAAGACCTACCTGCTGCCTGACAGGTCAGCCCAGGGCAAACGCAAGACGGGCGTCCAGAGGAACACGGTGGACCCGACCTTCCAGGAGACCTTGAAGGTACTCCCGGGACAGACGCTCCCCTGCGGGGTCTCCCCGCCCTGGGCGGGCGCAGGGCCAGAGTCCACGACGGCTCCTCCACACCCTGAGTCGGTGGAACAGCAGTGCAGACACTGCGGATGCCCGCGGGGCTGGCAGTCGGGGCACGGCTGGGTCACCCTTCAGCCTGGGCGGGAGAAGGGCAGAGTCCTCGGGACTGTCCGTGAATGATTCCGAGAAAATGGTCGGAAAGAACCTGGCTGCCCCTGAGCTTTTAACCAGGCCGCCCTGGCGAGTTTCTGTAATT